TAACAACTATCATTAAATTCCTGTCATCCTGTTTTGAAATCCTGTATCATTATCATTTTGGTTGTTTTGTTGTTGTTATGGTTCTTGTTGTTGTCATCTTTTGTCTCTTTGTTTTTGTCTTTTCTGGGTGTTAGTCTCTTTAAAAAAAGAATAAAATTAATTGGAATTAGTGAAAAATCAGAAAATATAACAAATGAAATTTAAAAAACATTTTAAACAGAAATAATAAAAACACAGGTAAAGGAGGTATAGGGAGCATCAAAATGCATCTGCAATACCTTCCATTAGCAGTAATTGACTCAAATGTGTTGGTTTGTATGAGTTCTTTATTCTCTTCTACTTGCATAAGCATCATTCTGCTTATGCTAGTATCACACTGTTTTAAGTATTATATGCAGTATCTTTTACAGTGAAAAGAATGGTATCTACAGGTTCATTTATTTTGCTCCAAATTTGTTATTTCCAGTCTCCACTATTTCCATATATATTTCAAGATTGTTTTTCTCTCATACTTCACAGACCTTGAAGCTGATACTTGGCACCTGACATTATCCGCCAGAGGAATAAAGATCTCTTTACAAATGCTCCCATGATATGTGGGACTCTGGCTTCTTCTTTGGAGGCATTGGTTGGGAGCAATGAATCATTATCATTTTAATGTACTTCTTCAGTCTGGAAGATACAAACTTAATCAGCAATTAACGGGTACTGGTAGTATAATTACTACAGAATAACATTAGTGGACCTTCCTTTCCACGAGTGCCATCACAATTTGAGCTTCTAAAGCATCAACTATCTGCTGTTCCTAGTACGTCTGGCTGTTTTGATAAGGATAGACTATTGCCAATAACTTGTATAGTCCGAGATCTTTCACCATCATCCTCTCCTACCTGGCCATATTATTGTGTTACAGAAATTTTCCCCCAGACATGCCTCTACGGTCACACCACCCTGAATAAAGCTGATTTCATCTGATTTTGAAAGGTAAGCAATATCGAGTATGCTTAGTACTTCAATGGAAGAGTAGCTTGGGATAGATTAACTGCTCCTCAATCCATCATGAAGATTTCTGTGTACCTCAGCCAATCCATAAGTCACCCAGTCCTACTCTAAGCCACAGTCTCGCCTGAATTGAGTTTCTCCAGTTTGAAGCCACTTTCATTTTTATGTCCCACCAAATGGAGCTCACAGTAGATACACTCATGCTAAAAATTATATCCAGTACAGATATCTTCTTCCACATGTCCATTAGCATGTACAGACTGTGAGCACCTCAAAAATCAACCTTCCTCTCTGGCCTCAAGATATCTTCAGTTTAGTTTTCCCAGTATTTTTTTTTACCTACTCTATTGTCGTCATGTTGAATATATGAGGTGTCATTGAAAAATGTGATGAGTTTTAAAATTAAAATATATTTATAGTTGTAAAGACACATTGCCTTTAATGTGTCTCAAAAAACTCCTCACTATTACTGTTTCATTTTTTGGCCATATGTTTGTTAGTGTACATTATTTATTATCAACAATGATCTTTATTTTTCAAACAAAGTTTAGAAATTTCCACCTATTGCTTGTGAACTCGTAGAAACCATGTACAAAAAGATTTTACTTCATTTGGAAGTTTGTTAGATTTCCCTGACTGAATTTCAGTATTGCCATTCAACTGCATCACAAAGTTAAAATGAATTGATGTACTTGTGTAGCTTAGTCCACTGATGTTAACATTTGTACAATTATGTTCTTATTTTCACTCGTGTCTCTTAAAATCCTTCCCAGATATTTTTTTGTCTCCTTCCATTGCTCTTCTGAAAACATAAATGTCAGGACAATGCAGTGAGATAAAGCATAGATGTAACTATATCTGGACAAAAAAAATTAAGGAAAGCAGAAAATAGGATGAAATCAATTCACTACCAGTCTTTCTCATGTAGGACTCAGCAATTCCTGCCCCATATCATGAAGGAACTGTCTCCTTGAACTTCTCAGATAAAGTAACAACCTCTCCAAAAGTTTAATATTATCTTAGGAGATTATAACAAGAAACTGGTACATGTTGTTGACAAACATCACCTGGGAAAATGTACCTCTCAGAATTGATCTCAACTCCCCAAGGAGACATAGTCATTGACACTACAGATGAAGTGATAATTACAGGCCTGAGGGGAGGTGAAGTCAGAGAATCATAGACCCATATATTGGGTACTAGCAGCCTTCCTGCAGCAATAATCTTGGGCATGGAGAGAGGAGAGTGTCACACTGTGATCTCCAACATGGCAAAGTGAGATAGCCTGGTGAGTGTTTCCTATTGCAATCAGGAAGGCAGAGTTAATGAGGGGAAACTTATATTAAGAGTGTGGCTAAGAGCCCCGGAGTAAGGGCTTCTTAAGTCTGTCTGAATGCCAAAGCTACACAGGGAGTCAACACTTTCCTAACTAATGGTCTCAGAGAGTAAAAAGAAATGAGGTTTGTAGAACTTTTGCTAATCCCTGATAGTGCCTAAATTAATGTGATCTTCACAGGCAGTAATTTTATGGTGTGGTCTATGTGACAGTGCAGCCTGATATTTAACATGCCTACTGAAGTTGCTCTTATTAATATAAATTTTCAATTACAATCAGAAATAAAAAGACAACATAAAATATAGAAGAAGGACAGGGTCAGTAAGGCTGTTATATTTACCTGAACATTAATGAATGAGCAAGTTTGTACATATTTTCCATACAAACCAATGTGCACGTACAGAGGCAAATGCAAAGTGTGTGTGTGATGGATATGTGATCTAATTGTGATACTTGCATACAATCTGTGCTACATAATGTTATTACATTGCATAACTTTGCGGTATATAATTTTGCCCATTAAGCACTGGAATATGTCCTCACAAATTAAAATAGATAACAAAAAATATGTACACCATTACTTAAAATAAAAATTATAAAAATTGCTTTTCAGTCTATGAAATCATAAATATACTTTTCAGGATTACAACACTGAGCCTATGATTTATCCACATCTACAAAAATATGGTGAATTCAAAAGACAAATTATATCCTCCACATGAAATGAATCTAGCACTTGGACAAATAGAAAAGTTTTTCTCTAACTATGAGTATAATACGGAATTCATGGAGACATATTTCTTCTAAATAATCATATTTCTTCTAAAAATGTTCAGTTTTTTGGGTGTCTTGTGGAAATTTTTCTCTTAAATATAGGGTAGCACCATATAAAAATAACTTAGTATAATCATTATTGCTTTCCATAACTTACTGACAACAATATATAACCTAATTTTCACATACTTGAAAACCTTCTCATGAATTGTAGCAGGCCATCCTGGAATTGCAATTTCATGGAAGATGTGCATGTAGAGGGAATCTCAACATTGTCCCTAAAAATTAGTTTTGTGTTAAAGTGTACATTGCAATAGGATAGCCCCAAAACAAACCCAAATCCACTCCTTTAACATTTACATAAATAAGTTTTTATATCTTGCATTGCCATTTTGCATCTGTGTATTCTGGTTCACAGATATTGTTTCATTCTTCATAGTTTCAGTTTCTCAGTGATCTAATAGCAATAAAGTAAATAATGTGAAATGAAAAACAAATTTGTCACTATCCTACACTCTTATAAAATGTATTGGAGCTACATATCAAAGGTTAGGGTATGACATGGTCATTGAACAATTGCTGTAACAGGAATTCTTGAGCTTGGTTCAGAACACGAAGGCAAGTAAGTCAGTCAGCAGCTCTCCTGGCATTGCCTTTTTCCTTATTGCCCACAGCTTTTCAGGAATCTGCTTCCTGCCACAGTAGTGTCTCCTCAGTGCACCTGTGTTTTTTTAAGTTTCCAAATGTTCACTCAAAAAGGATGCTGACCAGTATAATAAATAAATGAAAATGTAACATCAAATATTATGAAAGAAGATAGCAGAAGATAGCAGGAACATACAAAAAATGAGAGTAGTGCTGGATTCCTTTTAGAACCCAAGGATACAGCTTTTAAGAAAGCATGGAAGTTCTCCATGTCGTCACTCAGCCATGAGCAAGGCCATCCCTAGCTCTAATCAAGATGTGCATTTAAACAAATGCTTAACCTGTCTGTGCCTAAGATTTCCTTATATTTGTAGTTCCTCATCTTATTTAGGGCTGCATCATAGATGGTGAGAAAAGAATTAGGCATCATGACTGTCCCCTTCCCAGGAATTTGTACATTAATGGAGCTCCATAAATGTGTAAATCTAGTGTTAGAGCCCTCTCAAAAGGAAACATTTAGCACATAGTTCTTGATGGGAACCATTGGCAAGTGGGGACTGTTGGTCCATGTGATATCAAGTCCTGACCTAGATCCTCAATCTCCCAAATGAATGTACAATGAAGACTTAAATAAATGAGAAAAGTGGTATGATCTTAGGGCTCCAGGAGGATCAGATCGTTTAGCCTAGACTCTGAGGACTAAGACAAAGACCTTCTCTAGATCGCCCATATTTATTAGGTTCAAAGCAAAGAATAGGGAAACTGAGGAAAGTGCAGAAAATGAGCAGGACTTTAGGAGTCACTTCAAAGACTTCTACAAGTAGAAAATTATTTCAATTTAGGAGAATCATATTATTTCCATGATGACATTTATCTATCATAGAAGTGAAATTGCAGGAGTGAGATTCCTGCAGCTGCAGTCTCTACTTAATTAGTGCTAGAGCCAGGTGTCCTCAGATGTAGGCTCATGTTGTCTTTTGAGGTGTCTCTGGCATCACAGGACACTATAGACCTCATCAAGGACCAGTGATTCATAGATATTCACTTACTATGACTTATCTCCCGTCACCAAGCAAGGGGCCTAGGCTGAGGACAGACTCATAGGTAAATATAGAAAGCCGGTTAGTTAATTTTTTAAAATCCTGCTCAGTGTTGCTTCATAATGATCTGCAACGATGTAACCTGTTACATGGAGTCCATGCCTCATCTTGCCTTGCAGGGTTCTCAGTTCAGACAACAGGGAATGGGCAAGATGGCAGCCAGTGAAGTGGTTGCAGGAGTGATCTTCTTATCACAGATTTTGATTGGAGTTCTGGGCAATTCCTCTCTTCTCTATCATTATCTCTTCCTTTACTTCACTGGGTGCAGATTAAAGTGCACAGATCTTACTCTTAAGCACTTGATTGTTGCCAACCTCCTAACTCTCCTGTGTAGAGGAGTGTCCCACACCATGGAAGCATTTGGTTGGCAAGTTTCCCTTGGTAATGTGGGCTGCAAGCTACTCTTCTATTTCCACAGAGTGGGTAGGGGAGGGACCATCGGCATCATCTGTTTCCTGAGTGTTTTCCAGGCCATCACCATCAGCCCAAGGAACTCCAAATGGGCAGAGCTTAAACTGAAGGCTTCCAAGTATTTTGGCTCAACCTTGTGCCTCATCTGGGTCCTGTACAGCCTTGTAAATGTTATTTTTCTTATGTACATGACTGGAACTTGGAACAAGGAAAATCACACAGGCCTAAAATATTATGGGTACTGTTCTAGTGTTCGTCACGACAAAACTTCAGAGTCATTACATGCAGCCCTGCTGTCCCTCCCTGATGCTTTATGTGTGGGGCTCATGATCGGCACCAGCAGCTCTATGGTTTCTGTCCTGTACAGGCACAGGCAGAAGATGAGACATATCCACAAGACTAATGTGAGCCCCAGATCTTCTCCTGAGTCCAGAGCAACAAAACACGTCCTTCTTTTGGTCAGCTCCTATGTCTGTTTTTACACTCTCTCCTGCATCTTTCAAGTTTGTTTGTCTCTTATTTATAATCCCACCTCTTTCCTGGTGAACATATCTTCAATAGTTGCTGGGTTTTTCCCAGCTGTCAGCCCTCTTCTGCTCTTGAGATGTGAATCCAGAGTATCCATGTTCTGCTTTGCCTGTGTAAGGAATGGAAAAGCCCCTATTCATATGACAAATTCATAAATTTTTAAGGTCTGCATTGCTGGAGTTTGGCTCCATCATCCAACAGGATTATTCACATATATGCATTCATACTCCATGAGGATACAGGTTTACACAACTGTACTTATATTCAGTCTTTAAACTGAATATAAACTTTTGTTTATCATTTTTCAAGGGATAATTCCAGAAAATTTTCTAAACCAACCATATATTTCATAGTTAAACATAATACTAGTTACAAAATGGTAAGCTTGTTTAACATATAGTAAATGTTTTCTATATTTATGTATTCTGGGTGATTAATTTTTTAAAATACAAGACATTATTTTTCATTTATCTACTTTTATGCTTGTATCTTAGCTATGTCTGGTGTAAGATTCAGTAATTGTAGCCAAACATCATTTCACTTTACAACTAAAATTAGCCTTACACGTTTCATACAACAATGTACTTACTTGGTCAGTAATCATCAACCTGTGTTTTCAGTATAACCTTCATTGCATTTTCTTTGCTGATTTCACCTATGTTAATTAATTTTCATAAATCTACATTTTATTGCAGGGAGATTAAATGCTTGGCCTTATTCATGGGTGTTGGCAAGTGTTCTACCACTGAAATATGCTCCTAACTGCTTTATTTCTTCTTGTTAAAAACTAGTCAGTACATGCTATTCATGTTTTCTTAACTGTTCACAACGATGACATTGGGTACTCATGTATACTCATGTATTTCCCACTTTAAAATATATTTTACAGGTAATAAAACAAAATAATAAAATGTAACAAGTTACTGGTATTGTTCAGACAATTGAATTCAGGTGTCTTATGCTCTGGGTGAATGATTTGGGGATGAAAGTGCACAATGGATGTGTCATTATTGCCTCCTGACTAATGTGCTTTGAAAATTTCTTGTAGTTTTTTTTTCTTCCTCTTTTTTTTTGTCATTCTTTTTACCTTTGAATAAAATGGACTTGAAAAATGTGGGACAAAACTAAACAGTGAGAACAGTATTAGATTTCAAAATCAAAACCAAAGAAAATCCCCATAATTGCTATATTGCATATTGTTATTCTCTAAAAAGATGATCAGACTACCAGCTTTAGGCCTGCAATGTCAAAGAATTCTAACATTAAGTATTTCTTTTACTTCACTTGTTATCATCTCAGACTGTGTTCCTCTTAATCAGCCAGTTGATTATAGGGGTGGTGGCAGGGAGCTTTTTGTCTCCTAGCCCACAAACCAGGTGGCTTACAGGAGTGTGTGGCTCTGCTTCTTAGTTCTCCTACCAGCCCATAACAGCCACTGGCTCATGAGAAGGTGTAGCTCAGCTTCTTGCTTCTCCTCCTGGTGTACGTGGCTGCCCCTATGCCACTACCTCACAGGAAGGTGTAACGTGGCTTCTTGGCTTTCTTCCAAGCCCACAAATGCTACTGGCTCATAGCAGGCTGCAGTTTGGTTTCTTCATTCTCCTCCTGGCCCTCAAGGGCTGCCTCTGGCTCCTGGGAGGGCAGACCTTGGCTTCATGGTTCTTTACCTGGTCCATGACTGTCACTGGCTCATAGGAGGGCACCATATATTTCCCTTTTAACTGATGACTAGTAACTTACTCTACTGTCTCATTAAAAGATTTTGCATATAAGCCATGCATGTTTTGCTCAATGTAAGTTTTCCAAAAGGCTTCTGTAAATTGCAACTAAAGAGATGATATGATTTTCCCCAAAATATCACTGGAATTTTCCCAGTTTATGACTAATCAAAATCATATAGACTTCTGAGATAATGTCTTTCATTTTCATTTAAAGGATCAAACGATAGTCTGAAGATTTTATCCACAATCCAGTCATAGCCAATTTGTTAGGTACTAGTGGTGATTAGAGGCTGTCTTGAAAAGCTAGGAATAAATTTCAATTTATTTTACATATTTCATATGGTTACTTTTGCCTCTCAATGTCCACTGACTAACCCAGATTAATGTCACTTCCCCTTTGATTTGGCTTTCATGACAAGTCTGCTCATTGTATCTGTTCTTTGCTTTTTCATCTTATCAGAGAGAGTAAATCATGCAGTCAAAACCATTCCTATGTTAAAATTCTACATTGGATCAGGATAAGGGAAGATTATGAAGTTGAAAGTATGATAATTCTTTCAGTCCCTAGCCTGGAGCTACACTGTCAGAACCTGTCTACCGAGAGCACTGTGGAACTCTGGAGGACATTAAAGGTCTGAAACTTCCAAAACCAAACTGGACTGGTAAAGTAATGTCAATTTCTAGCATTTGCAACTCATAGCACTGTAGCATCTGCCCATCCCCATCTTGATGGCACAGGGCCACCTGTATATGCTCTGGAGTAGCCTGCCTACATCTTCTAAGATCGTGTGGGCTCAAGATCTATCTGGTTCAATTTTTATGACACTGTGTTCTGGCTGCACCTTGTAGACTTGGCAGTGTTGCCCCAGAGCCTGAGAAACACAACGATTAACCTTCTCAAACTATTGCAAGCTACTCTTCTGGGATTTAAAAGGCCAGTGTCTCTCTTTTCCATTTTTACTATTTTACTATTTCCATTTTACTATTTCTTTCTTGTTTTACCACTGATGTCAGGAAGCCATTTAAGATCTCTAATATTTAAAAGTACTTGGGCATTTAGTGAAATTGAAAACATAGTTATGTATGAACAACTCAAGAAAAAACGCAATAAGGGCATTAAAGACCTTAAATTATACCTCACTTTGATAATCATGGGTTAGAAAACATTTGGGGAGGGATGAGATAAGGTGATTTCCAGGATTCCCTTTTTCTTATTCTATTCATAAATCCAGTTCCCAATTGAATAAAAAAATTGAAAAAAAGGAAGGAGGAAATAAAACAACCAAAAGTTGTATAAAGAAACAAGAAATTGATCTACTCAAAAGCCAAAAAAAATTTCACTGTGGTAAGCAAAAATTACTCAAAGACAGCCCCCAAAGAATCCAACAAGGGCAGTCAGAGTCCACACGGGTACACTGATAGAGCAACTGAAATAGACCTTGAGCAAAATAGCAATAAGGTGACACTGAGAAAATGAGAAGCAAGAGGAAGAAATGAAGCTGTAAATAAGTTCAGGTCCTATCCAAATATAATCTGAAGATTGTTGCTTACAGCATCATGGTATCAAGTGTTCTCTCCTCCAGTACACTGCCCAGAATCTGTGATAATGATAGCAAACAGATATTGGGAGCAAAAAGGCAATGCTAATCCCTAGTCTAGAGATCTATACACCCATAGAATGCAAACATTTTTAGTGCTTGAAGCCAGGAGGGCAACCACAAGTGAACACTCACCCAGGTGCCATTGTCCACAATGCAGCCAGAGACACTTCATTGTTTCTACTGTCACTAGATATTTTTCAATCACAACTCTTGTGGATATCAGCAAATATCATCTACACTTAGGAAAATATTGAAATACTCATGATTTTGAAACCTTAGAAAAATCTCATTATTCAATACACTGAAAGAAGAGTGTGCAATACTCTATCAGAAAATACCATTAATAAAATTGGACCCATTAATAATTTTATTTTAAAAAATGAGTGATTTGTTAGAAAATAAAATGATCTGTAAAAGATGTGATAGTTCAAACTGGGAGTTGTGACACATACTTGTAATCCCAATACTTGAAAAGCTGAGGCAGGCGGAGTGCTGGGAGTTTGAGGCATGCCTGGCTACAACTGAAATGTTAGCTAGCCTTAAATGCATAGTTAGACTCTGTCTACAAAAAGCCCAGAAAAGGTCATAGTTGAGAGAACTTCATTCATAATTGGAGAAATTAACCAAATGTCAATTTACACTAACTTTTAATAATATCCTAAAACAACATCCCCTCATAATTTAAATTTTAAATAAAATTTAGATATTCATTGTTTTGTGGTACAATCATAATGAAACACATGAAATTTTCCATGTACCCCTCAATATTTAAGAATGTTATATAATTCATTTAATCCTCACAATAACTCCAACCTTAGGATTATTGCTGTCCCTAAACACAACTAAGTGAATTCCACATTTATCCTGTGGAATTCAATACTCAATGAGACTGTTTAAATATTTTTTTCTAGACTCTGTAATCATTCACAGAGTATGGAGCTGAAATGCATAAGTGCTGAGAACCAACTAGGTACATGTCAGAGCAAGCAGTGAATGATATTAACAAACCGGCTTAAAAATAATAGGTTGAATGGAGTGTCCTAGACCTAAGTGAGTTATGGCAAGGTGCTTAGCTGGCATGGGAATGAAATTAATCCCCAGGCCAAATCCAGGGAGAAATATAGCAGACAGTCTGTGAAGTCGTGGCTCCTCAAAGCAAGAGAACTACGACAGCTGAGGACTTTGACTCATCAAAATTCCATCAGCTCAGTGGTGTCACTTAACAGACAATTAGGTTGATAATTGGCCATGAACTGTTCCTGTGTACTTTTCCAAAAATGCTTTATTCTTTGAATCTCTGAGCCTTGCCTGCATCAGCAGTTCACCCCCATCACTACCTGCATCCCACTATCACCCCGCCCCCTAGTCAAGCTGTGCACCTAACAAAGAGCAGGGGCACAGTGCCCCAAGGTCCTACTTCTCCTTGGACTTTGATTGATATTAATCCAAGGGGCACCACCTGGGTGTACCTCATTACTAAAACACATGTATCCTCTGTTTTATTCTGTCCTTGTACCCCTGAACAGCATATCGGTGGTCCTAGGCCAGTGCTCTGATATAGAAGTATTTGAGTGAATTCACCAAGAAGCCCACATGCGAGAGAAATTTTCTACACATAGATAAGGTTATGAGATAATGAAATTTACAACAGTTCCACTTAATAAAAATTTTAGATTCCCAAGAAACATCTGTTCAAGATGTGCAGATTCTGTAGTTTTCTGACAATAGATAGACCTCAGTTGTCTGGCTGGTTGGTTGGTTGGTTGGTTCTTCTTACTGGTGATGCAGTACCAGGCCTTCACATGAGAAATATCCCAAGAACTCTTTCATTTT